CAAATCTACTTTAGTCAGAAGCTAGAGCATTCACAGGACTCGTTTTATTTGCTTGTCTTTTTTTAAAGGATCACTTTCCTGAGTTGTCTATTGTCCATGCCCTAAAAATAGTTGTTTCATGTATTTTATTCAGTTTTTCACCTTTTTGATGTGGGAAAGCAAGCCTAATTCATGTTACTTCATCATGTCCAGAAGTGAATTTTAGTTGTAACATTTTTTAAACATCTGCTCCATATGTAAATAAGTGTCTCTTTCTATTTCTAATATTATTCACTTTTGCCTTCTCTTTTTTCCTTAATCAATTTCATTAAAGGTGATCCATTTTATTAATCTTTCCAGAGAAGTAATTTTTATCCTAGTCTATCATTTCAAATGTATCAATGTTTAGTCAGATTTATCTACATGTAAACAAAATTTTTTTCCCTCATTCTTCCATCTCACACCTTGTTTTTTGTTTTGTTTTGTTTTTTTTTGCGGTACGCGGGCCTCTCACTGTTGTGGCCTCCCTCTCCCGTTGTGGAGCACAGGCTCTGGACGTGCAGGCTCAGCGGCCATGGCTCACGGGCCCAACCGCTCCGTGGCATGTGGGACCTTCCCAAACCGGGGCACGAACCTGTGTCCCCTACATCGGCAGGTGGACTCTCAACCACCGCGCCACCAGGGAAGCCCCATCTCACACCTTTTAACAGAGGTCATTTTTTGCTATATAAATATATTTATATATTATATATATTTATATATAAATAATGTAGAAATGCCTTTAGTGGAAAACAATATTTGTTTATCTTAAAATATCTTTATTTTGTTGAAAGATTTTTTGCTGTTTACATAGTTTAATTGACTACTTATAGTCTAGTCACAATTTCATTGTCTTCTGGCTTTCACCATTCCATTTAAGAAGTCTATGGTTAGTCTGTTGTTTCTTTGTAGACTATGTCTTTTCCCTTTGTTTTTAGTGTTGTTTGGTTTCAATACAATGTGTCTAGGTCTGGATTTCTGTTTATTCATCCTGTTTGATATAAGTTGTATTTCCTTTATTTGTGGGTTTGTGTTTTTTTGTAAAGTTCTCAGCTGTTATTTCTTTAAATGCTGTCTCTCCTCCATGTTTTCTATTCTCTCTTAGGACTCCTATTATTTATGCATTAGACCATATCATTCTGCCCTCTATATATCTGAACCTCTTTTTTAATATTTCCATCTCCTAATATTTCACAGCTGTATTCTTAGCAATTTTTTAAACATCTACCTTCCATTTCACTAATTATTTGGTTCCAAATAATTTCTGTCTCACCTATTCATTGAATTAAAAAAATTTTTTAACAGTTGATATTTAAAATTTTGATTTCTTAAAATTTACTTGGTCATTTTTGGTAGTTTCTTGTTGGTTCATTTTTTTGTGATGTGTACCTTTTATTACTTTATTGTATTATTTATATATTTCATCTCTTATTTTATATTTGTTATCTGGGACTTACGAGATCTGAAGTACTTACTGTCCAAATCTGCTATTTATTATTTCTGATAACTCTCATTCGGAGTGGCATGTTTTCTTGTATATTTAGTAATCTTTGATTGTGACCTCATTTTTGGTGGCTCATCTGTCAAATTTTATCAGAATAGAATTTTTGTTTGCTTCTCTTGGGAGCCAGGGATACTACTGACCTGGAATCATTTCAGCCCCCTTTAGTGACCTGGCTTCATGACAAGTCTCAAGTTTAGCTTCTCCACCTTGCACATTGTCTAACTTTCTCCTACTTGAACATAAATGTCATGAGGACAAGGAACTAATCTAACTGGTTTGCCATGTCTTCTTCATTGCCTCTTACATGGTAGGTATTACAAACGTATTTGCTGAAAAATTATTGAGTAGTCAGATTGCCCTTTTTTAAAAAAAAAACAACTTGAAGTTATACAGAAAGCCGAACTGAAGTGGTGGTGAATCAGCACTTGAAAAGCTGTGTGAATATGAATCCATATTCAATCACTTTAAAAGTCAATGAAGGGGCTTCCCTGGTGGCGCAGTGGTTGAGAGTCCGCCTGCCGATGCAAGGGACGGGGGTTCGTGCCCCGGTCAGGGAAGATCCCATGTGCCGCAGAGCGGCTGGGCCGGTGAGCCATGGCCGCTGAGTCTGCGCATCCGGAGCCTGTGCTCCGCAACGAAAAGTCAATGAAGAATAGAAAACACTAATAATGTATGCTAACTTCCATTAGAAATTGAAAGAGTATTTTTGGCAAGAGTCAAATAGTAACATCTTTTTTCAAACACAGACTGGAATGTTTCTTCCCATTGGTCTATATAAAACTGCTATTTATAGTTTCAACCAATAGCCTATACTTTATTACCTGACTTTAAAAAGTGGCATTTAACGTTTCTCTTAAAATTCCTTGCATCTTACAGTTTGCTTTCACGATGATTTCAAAAATATTCTCAGTTATCTTAGATGAGAAATTTGTTAGGATGTTCAAGCTATTAACAGGAACTTGGTTGCTGTGTGGTTGGAAGAATGAGTTTCAGATTTGTAAGATTATAGGAACAGATTCTGGAATGATGTGTTTGACTCTAACAGGCATTTCAATCATAACTGCAAAATATAAGCAAATCATATATATTTTAAAATCTGAACTGATACTTAACCCGAAGAAGACCAAAGTTAAATTCATAGGGAAACCTTTCTTTAGCCAAAGATAATCTTTGATGATAACTTACCATTTTCCAACCTGCCAGTCAATCAGGTACTGAGTACCAGCGTGTGCCTAACAGTTTTGTGTAAGATGTCTATTTCAGACTTACAGTTATATATAGGAGTGTATTTTAAAAGCAGCTTAAGGACAAGAGTAAGCTCTGCTCATTATTAGGCTTTTGCGCTGTACCTATAATTTTGGTGTGAAGTTATAAGGGCCAGAACTATTGTGACAATTAGAGAAAAGGGCTGGCTATTAATTACAAGAATAAAAGTGAAAGTTACACAATTTTGGGACCTCCCTATCTTACTAGTCTGGGGTCTGATATAATATATGCCCCGTGATATACTTCCAGAACAAATTCAATTCAACAAGACGATCCAAGTCTCTCATTTCAAGGAACTTACAATCAGCTTGAGAGACAGGAAACACATACAACAAAACCATTGAATGGCAACACAAAGCAGTGTATTAAGTAAAAATAGGTGGTTCTGAAAGTACAAGTTGAAAGAATGAGGAGATCAATGTGGCTTGAGGTAGCTGGAGGACTTTACGTGAGGAGACAGTGTATAAATTAATTTGGGTGAGGAGGGGGCATTTGGGAGGCACACTACAGGGAAACTATTCTGTCTACAACAGAGCGTTTGCTTAGAGGAGTAGCTAGAGATGATTCTGGAGAGGTAAGAGAGCATAGGTTGTGGAAAGCCTCAAAATCTTCACAGTCCTTAAGCTCCATATAGACACGGACAATGTCCATGTTGTTTACCATTGTAACTCTGGTACCTACCATAGAGACTGGCATATAGTATATATTCAATAAAATTCTGTTGAAGGATTCAATGCATGGATGAAGACACTTTGAAATGTTGAGGCTTTATCTGAAGATTTGTGGGGATTCACTGGAAGTTTTGGAGTATGAAGATGTCATATTATAAACAGTGTTTTAAGAAAACTATTCTCAAGGCAAGAGGCAAAATAAACTGAAGTGGGTGGAGGTTGGATGTAGGGAGAGCAGTGGCTTTCGTGTCATCATCCTTTGGGTGAGAAGGGTTAACAGTAGACTGAGGATAGTGGGAAAGAAGAGTTGTTTTGTTTTTGCGGTACGCGGGCCTCTCACTGTTGTGGCCTCTCCCATTGCGGAGCACAGGCTCCGGACGCGCAGGCTCAGCGGCCATGGCTCACGGGCCCAGCCGCTCTGCGGCATGTGGGATCCTCCCGGACCGGGGCACGAACCCGTGTCCCCTGCATCGGCAGGCGGACTCTCAACCACTGCGCCACCAGGGAAGCCCAGAAGAGTTGTTTTGAAATGGAAGCAACCAGACTGTGATTTATTGTCAAGTTTGCCTCCTAGAAGATAGCAAAAGGGATGTTGTCAAGATGGATAAATAATGAGTTAATTTTTGTAGTTGGTAGTTGAATATGAGAATTTCTACTCTCATTACTTACCTTTTTCCTAGTATTTCTCTCCCCACACGGTTATTTGATTGGGTTTTTTTTTCAATGATGCTCAGTTATCCACCGATTATTTTTTTCTAGAGATAGTTTGTTCACCTATTCTTTGAAGATTTCTGAATTATCAGACCTATTATACAATTCCCATTATATCAGGATAGATTTGGGAAGTGCCTACATAAATAACAACTAGAATATCTGTTGTGAGAGTGGATATAGGAATAGACACGGAGAAGGGAGTGAGTGTGAATTCCTGAAACTTGGAATTCTTTCATCAGTCTTAGAGGTTTAATAAGCTGCTATGCCCGTTCTCCTCAAACCTTAGAATCTCACCTCTTCAGTTTAGAACTTCTGGATCTGGGGGTGTTGTAAGTTTGCTTACTAGCCTCAAGCTCTAGTTGATAAAACCTCAGGGGAGTAGGAGATTGTTCTTGTGTTTTTTTCATTTTTACTCTGATAAATAGAAAAGGTGGATTTGCTTAGAATGTTTGCCCTACTCTCCAGCCCTGCCCAGCCCTGATACTCCAGAGTAGATACATATATAAATCAGATGTGTTTACAGACCTTCCTTGAGTGTCAGTTGACTCAAGACCCTGAGCTGGGTCAGCCCTGCTCTGCGTGACCTTAAGGGTCCCAGGAAGAAAAGTCCGCCCATTCCACCCGGCCGACTTCGAAGGGGCTCACTGGTCGCTAATTCTGTTTTGACCAGCGGGGCGAGCGCCCAAGGTCTTCCTCCCACTAAAGTCCAAGCCCCTCCGGCGACCGTGGTCTTCCCCTCCTGTCCAGGGCATCACTTAGGGGAGGGAACAGAACAGCTCTTTCCTCCTTTCTTTCTCTGAGACCAAAGCGGGAGGCTGGAAGGCCACTCATAGCGGCAGCACTTTTCTTATTACTACTATTATTTTCAGTAAGGACTCGGGTCGGGGGAGGGGAGACGCAGCCCTCACCGCACGCCGCACCACGCTCGCTCGGGGACAAAAGCTCGGGCTGGCGCCGCAGCCGAGCTGGCGGCGCGTTCCCGCCGCCGCTGGACCCTGTGGGCCGGGCGGCCGGGCGGGCGGGGGAGGCGGGGAGGCGGGGAGGCGGGCCCCGCCCAGCTTGGGCAGCCGGCTGTCAGCGCTGCCGCGCCCGGCCGGTCCCCGCCCGCCGGCCGTGCTGCGCCCAGCGGCGCTCAGGTGTCTTGCGGGAGGCGTCCCCGCGCGGCCAGCCGCCTCCCCACGCTGGCGGGCTCGGGTGCGCCTTGTGCGTTTCGGCGAGATTTTCCTCCCCACGCCCTGCCGGGTGACTCCGCCGCCCTCACTGCTTCGACTCCTGCTGCCTGAACCATGTCCGCGAGGGGTGAGTGGGGACCAAGTGGGCGCCGTCCCCGGACCACGCGCCGGGCCCGGCGGGGAAGGCGCGGACCAGGGCTGGCCGGGCAGGTGCCGGAGGGCGGGGGCCGGGGGCCGCGAGAACCTTGCCGGCCCCAACCCGGCCTGAAACTTTGGCATCGGATCCCTGGGCTCTGGGCGACCGAGGGTGGAGCGGGGGGAGTGTGCGGGGTGTGTGTGTGTGTGTGTGTGTGTGTGTGTGTGTAAGGAAGCCCTCGCCCTTGACCTTGATCCCCCGGATGTGGGCGAAGCCAGAGGGCCAAGGTCGGTGTCCGGCTCACCTGTGCCAGCCGCACGTCTGGGCTGGGAGGGCGTGGGGGATGGGCTCGCCGCTGCCAGTCCTGCTGGGCAGTGGCCTGAAGGGCTGGCCGGGAGGGAGGAAGAGGTTTTTTTTTTCCTCCATTCTTGTTACCATTTTGCAGCTTGGTTACGGAAGGAATCCAGGGCTTGATGCAGTAACATTTAAAGGTGCAGTGCTTACATCTCATTTAAAAAAGTAAATTCCCTACCTGTACTCCTCTTTGCATTAATCGCCCCTCACCCCCAGCGGTTTTCTTCCTGGAGTGAAACGATTAAACTGCAGGTGAAACTGGACGAAAGAAAGAAAAAAAAAAATCGGAATTGCTTTTCAGCCAAGAGTGAAGGGAATGTATTTCTTGCCATCTGGAGACAGTGGTGATGCTGGGAGAGTGAGTTAGTCATAGCTCAGTGGCTGCTACTATGAGTGAAATATTAAAGCGATCAAGTCACTGTGCAGCTTGCCAGCAATGAAAACGAAGTGACTTGGTGGCTTTACCATAAGCTTTTAAGGAAAATAGTGCTTATTTTTAGAAAGTATATTTGCCAAGCAATAAGTACCACCCCTTTTGATACCCCGAAGCTTTAAGAGGAGTTGCAGCGTAATTTTTTTTTTTTAACTCTGAAGGGTTAACCCTGCTTTTTGAGGGGAGTTTAGGAATTTAACAATGTGTTGGATAATTTAGTGATGCTTTTCAAGGTTCATTCTGGGACATGTAAATACTATCCAGAATGTTTAAACTCCCTTTTAAGGAAACTGGTCTTTGTTGGTCTGGCAATATGGTTGGTTGGTTCCGTACCTGGAAATGGGGTGGTACAGGCAGGGTGGAATGACAGAATTTACGTTTGTAGATCTCGGGCTACAGAGGTGATATGCGACCCTGAGATACTACCTGCCTAATGATGCCTAAAAATCTGTGTGTATTAGAGAAAGAAAAAAGAGGGTGAAACATGTGACTACAGGGGGCTGGGTGTGTGTACGGAATCTTCTGAGCGACTCCAGCTGTATAATCTCTGAACTGTGTTCTAAAACAGAGGCTTTTGGTCCTGACTTCTGTCCTGAGTATTAAAAGGAACATGTGGCGACTAGTTCTCATAGGTTGTAAAGCTCTCTGTGGTCAGAGTCCACCTCTGATGCAGCTTTATGCCACCCAAACCCCTTAGTACACAAAACATTGCACACCGTAGGAGCCAACTAACTACTGGGAGCCTTGGTAGGTCCTAGAAAGCATCAAGTTCGTTAGGTAAGCCCCCCAGTTTCACCTTGTCTCTGGCCCCTTCTACTACAAGGTCTCTGTGGTTTATCCGAGGATATGAAATGAAGATGCCCCAGTGATTCAGGGGCTAAAGCCCTGGCTTGGGACCTGGTTCTTGAGTATTTCTTGTTGAACCTGGTTTCAAGCAGGATGATTTCGAGTCAGACACAGATCTTTCACTTAGCGTTCTTGTTTCCCCTTCAAACTCCATGTTGATAATCTTGCATTTAACAGTTTGAAGTCTGACTAATATTGCAAGGGGAGAAAAAACATGATAAATATCAGTTACTGCATACTTATTACATGTCAGGCGCTTTACATGTATTGCATCAGTTGGTCCTCACAATAACTGACTCAAGTAGATGCTGTTATTACCTCTCCATTTCACAGATGAAGGAACTGAGGTTTTGAGAGATTGTGTAACTTAACCTGAGCTCAAACATTTGGTAGGTGGCAGATCCTGATTTCTACCCAGGACTGTCTGACTTCTGATCACATCCACTTTGTTTTAGTGCTTCTCTATTACTTGTCCTTTGAGTATTATAGTAAACATCACAATCATTGATTTGCTGAGAGAGAAAAATGCCCTATACTTGAGATTGGAAGGAAATGGCCTTGGTAAGTAATTTGGAATTCCCAGTACATTTAGGAACTTTTGGTAAAAGACCGAGTGAGGGAAACAAGGCCCTTGATCCTTGATGTTATTAATTTGATATCCCCACTCAGTTTCTTCCTCCTTCACTTTTGAGGACCAGAACTTCCTAGATATTACCAATGACTGAAGATTCTTCTTATGTTTCTATGAAGTGCTTTTATCTTTATGAATTTGTAAACAACAATTCTAAATGATTAGTAGAATGCCTAGTATAGTAGCTACTGAATTAAGCTCGTGTGGAAAGCTGTCTGTTTGCCATTTATTTTTTATAAAAGATGTTTTCAGAACTGAGCTTCACTATGCTTTTCTAATTTAGTATCTGCTCTCATCTCTATTCCTGAAAGTAGAGATAAACTTTTATGGTCAGAAAGTTAATGTGTCTACTTAAATACCTGACTTATCATTAGGAAGGTCTTTAGATACTTGGAAAGATAAATCTCATTAATTTAAAAAATGAACTCTTCTTATTTCTAATATCTAGACTTGTAAGTTATGGTAGGCGTAGACGTATTTTTTAAAAATTGAAAATGCTGAAACATTGAATCCCATAGAAAAGTAATTTTATTAAAATATTTTAGAGAGAAAAAAAAATATATATATATTTTTTTGCGGTACGCGGGCCTCTCACTGTTGTGGCCTCTCCCCCGTTGCGGAGCACAGGCTCCGGACGCGCAGGCTCAGCGGCCATGGCTCACGGGCCTAGCCGCTCGGCGGCATGTGGAATCCTCCCGGACCGGGACACGAAGCCGCGTCCCCTGCATCGGCATGCGGACTCCCAACCACTGCGCCACCAGGGAAGCCCGAGAAAAATATTTTTGAATTCATCTTCTCTTTAAGATATAAAGAGAGTACTAAAATTTAATTCATTATTCAAACTAACAATAAAAGATATTCTTAAATTTCATGATAGTCCAGCTAAGACATTCCTCATCTTGTGGTCTTTTAGAATACTATCATCAAAGACTTTTAACTTGGTGTTGTATTTTTACTGCTAGAGACCAAAATGGAGCTATCATGTCTTGATTTTGAATTGACAAACTGGGGGAAATTATAACACTTAGAATAGAGTTTCCAAACCTGGGAAGAATCATCTAGGTAGCCTTTTTTTTTTTTTTTTTTTTTTTTTTCTTTCGTTATGCGGGCCTCTCACTGTCGTGGCCTCTCCCATTTGCGGAGCACAGGCTCCGGACGCGCAGGCTCAGCGGCCATGGCTCACGGGCCCAGCCGCTCCGCGGCATGTGGGATCTTCCCGAAACGGGGCACGACCCCGCGTCTCCTGCATCGGCAGGCGGACTCTCAAGCACTGCGCCACCAGGGAAGCCCTAGGTAGCCTTTTTAAAATGTAGATTCTCGAGTCTCATTCCAGGTCTAATGGCTCATAACCTCTAAAGGTAGTGCCCAAACATCCACATACTATGTGAAAAGCTCCCCAGGTAATTCTAAAAATCATTAGATTAGAGCAGGATCAAAGAATCATCTGGAGTATTTATTAAATATGCTGATACCGGGCTCTGCTTCAGATCTACTGAAGCGGAATATTCATGGAAAGCCCTGGGAATCTGAATTTATAGCAAATTTCAGTTGATTCTTATGTACAGCCAGACTTTGGAATTATTGAATTAGAGCTTGTTTCTTTTAACTCAGGGGTTCTGTATCATCCAGAAATTTTTGGAAAAGAGCTGTTTTTGAGTTATAAAAATAATGTACTAAAATTTATTATCAATATATTCATATAATCAAAATATATTAATGTATAAATGGATATATTAAATATTGAAGTTATAGAGTATTATATTATAAATTCAAACAGAAGTGTATTAAGTTAAAAATGAAAATTTTCTATTTTTACACCCTTCCTACCAAATCCTTGGAATTAAGCATGGTAAACAGTGCATCCTGTATATCCTTCCCGGCAGTTTCTATCTGGTTAGCTTTTGGTTCAGTTCAATAAATATTAAATACCTATTCAGTATAAGATGCGTGGCAGCAACTGGCGCTGTATGCAGAAGAGATTGCTTATGAGCTTATTAGGTTTTCAGAGCTCGAGTCTTGAGAAAATGGGTCCAGGTATGTGAGGATAGAGTCCATAGCACTGGCAGAGAAATAACTCATAGTACGTATGCTCTAGAAATGTTAGATCAGTCTTGCTATCTTTGTTTTCAGAACTTCCATAAAACTAGGAGCAACCTGAATGCTTATCCATTGGAGAATGAGTGACTAAATCATGGTTCATCCATACTATAGACTGTTATGCAACTATTAGAAAGAATGACTTAGGTCCATATGTGTTAGTCTGGAGTGATGGCCATTATACATTTTTAAGGGAAAAGAGCAAGTGTTATGATAAAATATATGTGTGCGATCCCAGTTCTACAAATTGAGAAAAATCTCTAAGTGTGCATATGGGTGTGCCATGAGCATAGAGAAAGTCATAGAACAGTACACACCAAGCATTCAACAATGGTTAAAAATGTCAAGGGTAAAAAAACGTCGAGGATAAAAAAAGTTAAAGTCAAGGGTAGGGAGGGGAGAGAGTTGGCTTTTCTTTGAACACATCTTTGTGTTGTCTGATAGCAAGTAGATATAGCTTTAAAAGATTGAGAGAAAGATTGAATAAATATGTCCACTTCATCCCCAGTATTCATTTCATTTATTCAAGTCAGGACTGTAGATTTTCATTCATTCATTCAACAAACATTTACCGAACACCTGTTATGTGCCAGCAGTCAGTGACTAGGACACAGCATATACCCTCAAGGAACTCATAGTTCTGTGTGGGAGACAAATACATAAATACTATTTATAAAAGGATATGCTGAGTGCAGAGAGAAGGAGAGAGATAATGTGGGCTAGAGAAAGAGTTATGATGATACAAAGGAGTGGCACCGAATATAGCCATGGGGGTTGAGGAC